CTATTTGCCCCCCCCCCCTTCCCTTATTTCTCTAGACTTTAATATGTAGATAATGAACATTTTTTGTGTTTTGTTCAAGATCAAACCGTGTGGAATCTTATACACCGACAGAAAAAAAGGGATTCCGAAAGTGTTGGCCAGTGCGCCATCATTTTGGACATAAGAAAAATAAAAAAATATTTTTTTGGTTTCTTGTATATGACGTACAACAATGTCCTCTAAGCAGATTTTAAATAAAGTTACTCACAAAAAATTCCCAAACTTAAGGTATCATTTTCAAATCTCAGAGGTGGTGAGACCCCTTAATAAATTCTAAATCTTTTTAAATTACTATTTTCTGTACAAGTACATATCGAAATATGTACACTGAGAAAAAAATTGATTGTACGGACTAAATTTATATAGTTGTTTGATCCAATCGATTCAACAATTATTTAGTTGCACAAAAAAATATAGTTCATTCATGTCAACCATCAAAATATTTTAATCAAAAATTAACTAAACTCAATTAAAACATTTTGTTTGAAATACTAGTAGTATTTATTTGTGTTTACATGCTATAATTTAATTATCCAAATAATATATTTGTTTAAATGCCAAGTATCAAACTGACTAAAAAATGCTGGGGATAATAAATAGTGTGTATTTTTAATCGGACGGTTGAGTTAAATACAATAAATTTTTGTTGAAACAAAATAGTTTAGTAAAAAAAAATAGTATTTTAATTATAATAATGATAAATTATTTTATGCCATCGTTGCAAAATATTTAGTTAAACGTTTCGGACTAAATATTTTGGCAAGATGAAACAAATTTTGCATTAAAAAAAAAAATTTTTTTCCTCAGTGAAACAATAATATATATTGGTATATCTATATTTAGTCTGAAATGTTTTGCATCTGTTTAGTACACGTTTCATCGTAAAGAATTGCGATTACACGAACGCCAGGTTATTTTGTTCATTATGATAAGTTAAAGTGCTGATAACACATACAACACGACATGCTACATTCAATTCTGAGGCACTCACTTTTCCGACAAAAGAAGAAGTAGTAGACGAGGGAGAAGACGAGGGTGATGCCCTTTATCGGATCCTGCAAATGGCACAGCACCCTGTTCCGATCGAGGGACAGAGTGATTAGGATACCCGAGAGGGCGTACAGAGTGCTTATTTTGATCAGGCCGCAGCGGGGTATCTTGATCCGCATGCTGTTCGGTATTAACGGCGGCGGCGGTGACACCCTGTCCACGGCAAAGTAGACCAATCCCAAAATGCAGGCGGAGCACAGGGCAGTGAAGAGGAGTCCTGCGAGAGTCACAGAGGAGCGATTGGGAAACATATTAAATTGCCGCGAATGAAGCGGAAAGGTCAAAACGACATCGTCACTAAATTAATTGAACAGTCAATATTAATGAATTTACCGTGTAATTGGAGTAACGTCCAATTTTGGCCCCGTTTCGTTCAAATAAATATTTTCATTCTCGTGTTTTAGTCGATAACGTTAAAAAATAAAAGAGTCAACTGTTAATAAATCCACAAGTAAAATTAACAAAAATAAAAAAAGATATATAGTCTAATTTGAATGATGAGTTTTTTTTGCAGCTTTTGTGTCGCGAGTTTCTTTTAAAAAAATCAGATCTTTGCTATTACAGTGCTTTACGTAACTCGGTTGTTCCTGTTCGTGAGATGTACCCGCATCATACTAGCCAGCGCTAGGATATAATTTTGGAAATGACGAGAACCCGAGAGCTATATGCCGCGCGTACATCTCACGGCGTATGGGCGAACGTTCACGGATATAAATAAATTGTTTGCAGTAATTGCGATCCCCGAGAAATTGATCCCCGAGATGTCTAATCCCGAAATCCCGGAATTGCGAGATCCGCCGCGCCGCGCCGCGCCGCCGGTCGGGCTTGGCCGTTCAATTTGGCGTTACACATTAATTTAGATATTACGTGTACGTCCCATACTGGTGCAATCCATAAAGGCTATATCGTGTGTGTGTGTTCGCGCGCTCGTTTAGGTGCATACATGTTCTGTCTGTCTACCTGTGTAAGCGCTGGAGACAGAGGCAACGCTCTCGAGATAAAGCGGATAGCTGATAACGAGGACGGTAACTGATACCGCGACGGACACGAGGGTGGCCAGGAAACGGAGCTTCTGCCAATTTTCGCGATCGGTCGTATCGAACAGCTTATCGCCGCCGGCCTGATAAGCGACATATGGCGACTCCTCGGTGTCGGTGTACTCCTCAATCTCGACGTCGCTGCCGGTGCAACGGAGCTCCTCCTGCTCCTCGTCGTCCATCATCGTCGACACGCAGCTCGTTAGGCTCGCCAGCTTGGCGGCTCTTCTCGTTACTCTATCGAAAACAAGAACGCCATGGCTTCTTCATTTCGCCTCACAATGACGTGAATTTGCAATACATCTAAAGATACACCAGATACATGAAAAGAACGATTTTGTTGAAAGATCTAAAAATTTTGCTAAATACAAATCTGAAAATAATTTTTTGTTAAATCATCAAAATACCTTCTTGAAATGTTAAAACTGATAAGCATTGCCATAAAAGTTTTAATATTCTAGCAAATTTTGACTTTTGCACAAAATTATTTTAATTATTGAACAAAAATTATTTTTAGATCTGGATTCAGCAAAATTGTTCTCTCCGTGTAGCAATTAAAATATACTCTCTCTCACACACAGACACACGCTGGATGCCACCTCGTTTATTTTATCATTTGTATTTTTAACAATCTCTATTTTTCCGTTTGTAATTGTATATTTATGTCACGTGAATTGTGCAAATTTAAAAACATCTGCTATGATTTAAGACGCTTATATTTTTACCAATAAATAAAGATAATTTTTTTTAGATTTTAAGACCAACATTATGAATTGTTAAATTTTAATTTGTCTACATTATAAACTTAAATTAAATTCAAATAAATATCTTGAAATATAAAAAATGATTATTAATAACTATTCAGAATAAATCTAATAATTCCACTTATTATGTGAACATTTGATATTTACATTGGAATTATATCTGAATTACAAAATGAGAATTAAATGGTCGCATTTAAGTCTAGCTGTATTCATGTGGCATTTGAATACGAAATTCTGCCTTACTAGTTCGAAATATATGGCCGGGACCATTGAAAACGAATAATGTATGATGTATGTAAGTGAATGGATTAATTCGCGCAATTCTAAGAGAAACGCTCAGATTGGATATCAAGCACAGGAATAATATAGATCTATTTCTTAACTGTAAACTAAATATCCAATAAGTATGTACTTAAAACGTTATCTATAATATTTATCTGTATTTTTACTTTCAAATCTCAGAATATTTGTCGGAAAGTACGATTATTATTTTCAATAGAAATTATTATTATTATTCATTTATAAATTAATATTGCACATTTGTATTATTTTATTAAAATTGCCCTTTGATAATTTGCGTCAGATTTCAGAATAGAATTCCGTTTATAATGCCGCACATCGTGTATTTCGATATTTGTATGTAATTTAATATTTAATATTTCATGTGTGAATATATATATATATATATATATATATATTTCTGATTCTTTACAAATGTTTTTTGGCACATAAAATTACAAGCAAAATTCTATCCTACATTCTGAGGACACGAAAAACAGATCGTCTAAAATGGGCTCAAAGTGAAACTTTCATGCTCGCTGGAATTAATTTCAGGCTATACTATCCTGGAGCGCAGCGTTCGCGAACCTCGCCCTTTTCGCGGGCTACAAAGCGGTCCAGATGCGTACGGGAGTGGAACGAGCAAAATTGCGGATTAGATTGCGTGCTGCTCACTATCGTGCGTAAGTAAACCGTGAGGCTTAGGGAACGCAAGTAAAAAGTTTCTCTCTACATTTAAAATTATATTCTCGACGCATCACATTCTATAATATAAAAGGAATAGCATTCGCGTCAAAAATGTATTTTGTAAAAAAAATATTTATTTCAATTAAGTTACTGTAGAAGTATAAATTTATCAGAATTTTTACTTGAATGATTATTATATTCTTTTTAAAGTCAATTTTATATTCTTAGAGCTTAAGAGAGAATTCTATTTATAATTTTATGCGCCTTTTATAAAATGTATATAAAAAAGCATCAGCAGGAGTACACAATTATAAAAAATATATATGAATATAAAGCTACGGATAGAATTCTATCCTGAAATTCGATGTAAATTATAGACCGTCTAAAATGGGCTAAAGAACTAAAATATTAAAACGTTACTATCTTAATATAAACCGTAAAACGTTCAAAAGCAACTAAAAGCGGAATATACAACATTATTATTAAGCATAAAATTTATTATTAGGCAAGATCCCGCGCGGCGACCGAAAATGTTATTATTAATTTTGTGCTACCTACACATCGATCACTAATTATTTAATACCTTATCGTTTTTTTATTTATTAAAATAAACGATAAAGTATTAGTGTGTCCGGCATCATTTAAATTAAATAATGCGAACCATAAAATATTAATTTTATCAAAGATTAATTTTTTAATCATAGATATTAAGCGCAAGAAATATGCCAATCTAATGTTGACCACACCATACCGATAAACAAGTAGCGAGTGTCGATTTAGTAACAGACAACACGTAAAGCAAATAAATCCAATCTTACATACGATTATTTCATATCTAATGTTATCTGATTCACTTGAAACTAATTAATAAAAAATTCGAGGGTTCTTATGACAATCAGAAAAAAATTCAGATTTTTTAAAAATAAATTTTCCCGATGCTTATAGACCGTCACTTGTACTGAGACTTGTACCTTCAGAGAGAAAGAAAAAGATGCAAAAGGTAAGACAAAGAGCGCAGACTGCTCCGGGAAAAGCGCAACGTAAACAAAGCAATGCCTGTCGTCGAAAGAGACGTAGAATCCGCAAAACGTCGCATCGCTCAATGCTGATTAAACTGCTGGATATCCATAATTGTTTGTACATTGTCTCTAATTACTGAATTATTCAGCGAGAACGTGAGAATAATTGATCGGACGAAGACGCGAATTAATTTTAGATGAAATTCGGCCCTTATACGGTCCAAAATTGTCAGACTCACCCTTGGACGGGAACCTAACCTGACACCGCCCACCCTCGGGGAAAGCGTTTAACACCCCGGGTGTCCCCTGTGTGTACCGTCGTGTCGCTGACGCGTCCGCGATGCGGCCGACGGCGGCGATGACAGCGGCGGCGGCGGCGGCGGCGGCGATGACGATGACGCACGGCGCGCCTTAATCGCGAGTACTGCGAGTCGCGCGATAAGCCAAGCGAAACAGCGAAACCGCGACTTCATCCCATCGTGGGTGACGGCGAGAGGTGCCTCTTCGTGTCGCGGCCTCCGCCACCAACCTGCCTCGTCAGGACCGTACCCGACCGCGGCGGCTTGATAAGCGAAGTCGAAACGCCCACGCGCGGGACTCAGTATTGAGTTATTAACGAACGATATCGAATCGATTGTTAATAATTCAATACGGAAAATCTCAATACGGATAGGAAATCGATATATGGAAACGAGAAAAGTGATGCTGCTGGATGCCTCCGTGTACTCGGGGTGGACCTCCTGCAACAGTTTGCTGCATTTATTTCCGTATTATGCGCCTTGAGAGGATTAAATTTTTAACAATAAAATTAAAGTTAAATTTTCCTTAAGTGTAGATTTCTGTGATTAATTTAATTAAAATACACACAAATATAATTAAAAAAATTTTAGATTAAATGATCGAGATCGAGAGAGATCTGCTTTGAATATGTAATAAAGTTCAGAAGGATCGTTTTCTCCTGCATGCTTTTGGAATTAATTTGAAAAATTGATTACCCAAAGAAATTTATCGAAATTTTTCCAAAGTATTTGTGTTCTCAGAAAAATAAATTTGTAAGAATGCCAGATTTTTCTTGCAGATAACAAAGAATAATAAGAGGATAGCGACGTCGGTGAATGAGACGAAAAACGATTTCGAAACGATGGTGCCTTTTGCGACGTGTACGCTCTTGATTTGGCGCATGAGCGCAAGATATGCGCGACGCAAGTCACGCTTTGTGCGCGCCGCTCGAGGATTAATTCCAAAAATTCTGAATTATTCGTCGCGCGGAATATTGAGAATAACGTGAGATGTCAGGAACAGAGCACGTTACATCATTTTCCTAATCCGGTCCTAATGGACCTCGCACGTGGAAGCATTAATCATCATTAGCCAGGGCGGAACATACGCGACGAATTATCTACGCCATCTACGGTAACTGAAAATTGCGAACTACAACATAAGATCATATATGACTAATCCTTTTTACGATAGGAAGGTCTTTACAAGTTTAGAATTATTTTATGTGAACTTCAACAAAGTGTGAAATAAAAAAACACATACCTATATTTTTACTTGTTTATCTCCAAAGTAGCACACCTTTTATAAACACGGTAGAATATAATTTAAATTTCAAAATATGTACATAGCTATCTAATTTAATTACAAGTTAATTTTATAGTATTTATTTGGCAGTAAAATTTTAGAACTAAAATTGAAACATTAATAATTGAAAAGCTTTTTAATAATTTTAATCTTTTAAACGAGATACATGGATATTTTTTTTATTGCTTCCAGGCGATCGCAGCGCTACAATTTCAAAACGTCCAAACTATATATTGGCTCTATTTTAAGTTTTAACAATTATTTACCTTAAAATCTTGCAACTTTTATTTTACTGAAATTTATAGTTATAAATATTAAATATTTTGTGTAGTAAATCGCAACTTAAAATAATAAAATAAATTTTATTTAAAACCAAATAAAATTTTATTTATTATGATAGAACTTTTTGGAAAATTTTTTTATTTTTAGAAAGAATTTATCATAGTATCAATAAAAAATTAAACGTGAGAGCACAATAAGTTACAAAATATATGAACATTTTTTATATATTTTACTTTCTGCATTAAAAAAGTCGTCAAATCGAGCAACTTTAATTATTGTTAAGGTTTTACAATTACAAGTATTAAATACTTTGGGATGCAAATTATTCCGTTTGATCTTATTTTTGCATAACAAATGCAAACAGTTATTTCCAACGTATTTTTGCCTGCTGAACGCGAATCCTTTGCAAAAGTTGACTATCACGTCATTTTCAGAAAAATTGTGAAAATGGCTTTAAAGAGATCAAAAACAATAATTTTGAGAATTTTCAAGACGTTGTAACAAATTTTTTTGCTTAATTTTGTTAATGCCACATAAAAGCAATTTTTACCTTTAAAATGCATTTTAATCCATTACGATTTCTTGTTTTTGAGATATAGCAATTTGAATATTAATTGTTTTTCTCATTTAACACTATTCGACAAAATTTAATTATTTCTTTCATCATAAGTGTGAATAGTTATTTTCGACGTATTTATGCCTGTTGATAAAAGTTGGCTGCATGTCACAATTTTCAGAAAAATAAAATCGTCGTTTTCCTCTTGATGCATTTTTTTTCAAAATTATGACGTGATAGCCAACTTTTGCCAACGGATTTTTATGTTCAGCGGGCGAAAATATGTTGAAAATGACACTTGATGAAAGAAAAAATTAAATTTTGTCGGATAGTGTTACATGAGAAAAAATATTATATGTACTCAAATTGCTATATTTCAGAAACAAGAAATCGTAATGAATCAAAATGCATTTAAAGCTAAAAATTAATACTTTCATGTGGCATTAACGAAATTAAGCAAAAAGATTGCTGCAACATCTTGAAAACTCACAAAATCGTTGTTTTTGGTCTCTTTGAGATCATTTTTCTTAAAATTGTGATGTAATAGTCAACGGATTCGTGTTCAGCAGGCAAAAATACATGGGAAATAAATATTCGCACTTGTAATGCAAAAATAGGGTCAAATTTTGTCGAACAGTGTTATAATTTCAACTTGTAATAAATATGTTTGAGCGTACATAAAACTTTTTTTAAATAGATAGTACCAAGAACTTAGTACGCAGTTTTTTATTTAAAAAAAAACATTACGTCACAATGATTATAAAGTCAACAGAATTAAAACATGAAAACACAATAGATTGCTAAACCGATGTTAATTTTCACGCTACCTGCTGAGTGTATTTAAAAGGCCATCAAGTCTGTCACATCAAGGTGTAACAAGCGGCATTATGCGCGTGCTACTCACGAACGATTGATACAAATGCAAAACTGAACTTACCGGCTAACTGGCCGAGTTAACGAGCCTCGCCAGGCTCTGAAAACTCGTTAGGAAATGTCCGTTAGGAAATTGCGGCGAGATCGGAGTCGAGTGATCGTGGGAGCTGTGTGTTTCAGTCATCCAACACGGAAACGGAAAGGCCAGGGATCTGCATGCAATAGACGTACCGCGTTCGAATCACGTATCGCGTGCAAACACTCGACTTCTGATTTTCGGTCACGACCGAAATCAGCATTCACGTCTGAGAGGTGTTAATCGCGAGGAAACATTGGCAATTTTAGATTCGCGTCTCTACAAACAAATTTGAATGTTTCACACAGCAACTTTGTAATAATGCAGAGATTTGTGCAAAATTATCAATAAAGTAGTTTCCGATTATATACAGTCACCAAACTAATTATCCGGACAATGCGTTAATATATCGACAATTTCTAAAAATTCAAGATAGAGCAACTTTATCAAAAATTATCGTAACGAAATTTTTAAAAAAGCATTTTACAACTCTGAAATCTTCAGTTTTCAAGTTGATACTTTAGAAAACGATTAACTGACTTTCTTCAGAGTTGCATTTATACAAATGGAAATATGACAAATCGCAAAATTTTTTCTTAACTTTGCAAAGTTCCACGGCCCGAAATAAAAACCGCACTAAAAAGGAGGTGTACAGTTTTCGAAAGAATAAATCTTTTTCTTTAATTTGCTTTTTTATTGAACGTTGCACGATTTTTTTTTTACCGAGTTATTCAACTTTGAAGCAAAAATGACCTTTTTTGCTTTGATGTGATTTTATTTATTTTATTGATTAAATCTGTATATTTAAATGTATAATAAATTTTACTAATACTTTTGATGAAAATATATTACTAGGAATAGTTTTCATTTCTAAATACTATTATCTTTATAAAATTACAATATTTGATAAAGTTATAGCAAAAAATAAATTCCCAATACCTGTATTCGGATTATTTCGTGACTGTAACTCGATAAAAAAAATTTTAAGATAGAGCAACTTCGTCAAAAATGATCGTAACGAGATTTTTAAAAAAGCATTTTACAGCTGGAAATCTTCACTTTTCAAATTAATACTTTAGAAAACGACTAACTGAGTTTTTTCGGAGCCGCATAGATATAAGTGGAGGTATGACAAATCGCAAAATTTTTCCCAAAATTTTGGAACTTTGCAAAAAACTTTCCAAAGTTCCATGACTCGAAATAAATATCGCACAAAAACGAGGTGTATAGTTTCCGAAAGAATGAATTTTTTTCTTTAATTTGCTTTTTTGAATTGAGTGTTGTACGATTTTTTTTCACCGAGTTATTCAACATCGAAGCAAAAAAAGGTCATTTTTGTTTCAAAGTTAAGCAACTCGATGAAAAAAAATCGTACAACGCTCAACAAAAAAGCAAATTAAATAATAGATTCATTCTTTCGAAAACTATGGACCTCGTTTTAGTGCGATTTTTATTTTGGACCGTGGAACTTTACAAAGTTAGGAAAAAATTTTGCGATTTATCATATTTCCATTTGTATCAATGCTTCGACGAAAGTCAGTTAATCATTTTCTAAAGTATCAAACTTGAAAAATGGAGATTTCAAACTGTAAAATGATTTTCTAAATATCTTGTTATAATAATTTTTGACAAAGTTGTTTGAATTTTTAGAAATTATCGATATATTAATGCATTGTCCGAACAATTAGTTTAATGACTGTATGTGTGTGTATATATGTATATTGCCTATGATAAATTTTTTTAGTCACTCAACATTGCGAATCTGATTTTTTGATCCATCGATATCTCTATTATGTAATTACAGTCGAACCTCGATAACTCGAACCTCTACAACTTGAAAACCTCTATAAGACGACAATTTTATTTATTTCCTTCCACTGCGAAAAACCTCTATATAAATCGAAATGAAACCTACCTTAACTCGAATTATTTATCAGATATTTAGATTATGTATTATTTTACCTCTGCAAC